AGTCATTTTTATAAGCTTTTAAAATAATAACTCATAATTTGTACCTGCATTTGCTATGAGGATAGAACCTTGAATAATGATTCTCCATTATCAGTGACAAAACAAATCAGTTTCCTACGAAAATATTGCTTCGCCTCTATTCTGGGACAAGAAAATGGCCAAACAACACAACTTGTCTTGTGTTTCCATGGGCACATGGCACTTGTTTGGAAATACGTTTAAAGAAGCCATCCCTGGCCAGGGGCCAGGTTTTCTAGTGCCAGCTCTGTCCTCTTAGGTGGTCCATTGTTTGGCAGGTTTCCCAAACTGACGTCGCTAGTTATTAATTATGCTACTAAACTGGCTGTATGTCCTGGAGAAAGTCCCCTCCCCTGCTTGGGTGGACTTCATTTAATTGTAAAAGCTTTGTGTTTAAAATAATCAGATCTACAAGCCTTAGGATCTTGTGTGAGTTTCATGAGCTTATTGTTTGTTTTAAGTGTGTGATTTCTAGCTCCCCTTCCTTATAATGAAATACAGTGGGGTTTTATTTAATAAATTGAAAAGCCTTGTGTTGAATATTGACATTCAATCTCAGTGAAGTAATGGTTTTATAAAGCACAACAATAATTGTTTTAAAGAGGAAATTGTTTATTGTCAAATCATGTCATGACTAAATCATTACACAAAAAGCAGACAATGGAAGGCACTTATGTTTCTCACGAAATGTTGCCTTTCACAGGGTTAACGACTGCTGTGTTTGGTTTTATGGCAGCATTCGAGGAAGCCTCCAGTACTTGGCTGAAATGTTGGGAGCTATAGGCAGGGGCAGCCCATGCTGCCCTTACTCCAGGCTGTGAGGTGTTGGAGGGCCAGGTTTCCCAAGCAGGCGGGTGTGCTCACTCTACATCACTATGCAGCCTCCCAACACCTCCATCTACAGCTCTTGATTGTGTGGGGAAAAAAAAAGAAAATAGAACGCTGTTGTGTTGCTTTCTACAGCTTCCTCATTCTCCATTCTGCATTACTAATATGCCCCTTCTCAACCTCCTCACTGTCTTAATAATATTGTGTGTGCCTGCACAGGCATGCGTGTGTGGTGTGTTGAAGTGAGCAGGATGATTTCAAAGCAGTGAACAGGAGGCAGGCACACCAAGCCTGCTAAATGCAATCTGCTGGAAAACAGAGGAGATGTGAAAAGAGGGCTGGGAGACACAATGACATGTATTTCTCTAGAGATAAAATATCCCTGAGAAATCATGTATTCTTGCCATTTCAGTTTTGGATTTTATCTTCTTTAAAGTTTTTCCTTGGGAGCTTCAAAATGATCTGTGACTGTAAGAAAGATTTTAACGGCATTTTACAAGCCATTTCATAAAGAGTTAAAAGATGGCCTCGCGTTTACATGAAAAGCCAGGCGCATTGAATGAATGGTGGTACTCACATACAATGGAATACACTGCAGCTGTTACCGCAACAATGAGATGTACAAGACGTTATGTCGAAAAATGAACTTTACAACTTTGGCCAGGGATGGGGTGGAGGGGGTGGGGAAGGGGGAAGTGGGGTAGGGTTGGGGTAGGAAAAGGATGGGAAGGGGAAACAAAGGAAGAGGCAACAATGCTTGATAAGAAATGTACTCATTACCATTCTCATGTAATTGTAACCCCTCTGTATGGTATTTTCACAATAAAAAAAATATATATAATAAACAAAGTTGGGGGAACATTGGTGTGAGCTAGCGTTGGGTGTTTTCTAGGAGACATGTATTTTTTTTCTGTACACGTACAGAAAGCATGCACAGAAAGGCACAATAGTATTTGCCTTGTGTGTAAGAACAAAGGGAAAACAAGAAAAGTAAGCACATGATCTTTTAAGAAAAAAAAAAAAAAACAAAGACACAAGACAAACTAGGGAACAATGGTTATTCGAGAAGTTTTAGGAGGAATGAGGTTGATAGGATTCGGGGCCGAAAAGAAACATCTTTGAGTACCACGTATTATGATTTTACCTTTCAGAAACTTATTGACACTCTATATACTAAAACTAAAACTAAATATTATTGTGAGCCAAAAGCAGTTTTAGTTAATAATCTCAATTGTACGTGAAAATATACCACAACAGCACTGGAGGGAAAACAATGAATCTACACTATTTTAAATTACAGATTCCATTCTGTGATGGCAGAGTGGGTGGAAGGATCCATCACAGCCATTCCAGGGGACCACACAGAGGCAGGCAGGCGCAGGAGAAAGATTATTAAAATGTTTATTAAAGGAGCCATATGTCCCTCGGAGAGAGAGCACATGGCAGCCTCCACTATCAAGGTAGCAGCATGGTCTGGGGGTAGGAAGTGAGGTAGAGGGGAGTCCGGGTAGGTCTGGGCAGAGAGAGAGGGGCCAGCTGTCTGGAAGGAACTCTAGGACTGAGAGGAGCTCAGGTCTGGGTGGAGCTGAGGACCAAAGGTGGGCATAATGCTTACATTGCCCACTCCATTGTTTAATAAAAATAGGGAGCCCCAGGCCGGGGAGTGTCTAGGGTCTTTTGGGAAACTGGGTAGGGGAGAGCATAATGGACTGGTTGGAAGTACCATTCAGAGGCTACTATAAATACAAATAGCCGGTAACAAAGGCAAGACTGTAACTTTTGTCCAGTTAGAAGGTAGACAGGTATGGACATTAGGTGGGCAGCTATTTCTCTTGATCTCCCAGCTCTGATTAATTTTGGAAGGGTGAGCATAAAGTGACTCCATTTAGGATGTCATCTCCTCTTACTCATCTCCATGGTTTCCATTGCCAGGACTGACTTTGTCCTGGCAAGTGTCTCAGCATCCATTGCTGGGAGAGCTTGTCCCAGTTGGTATCTACCAGGTTTAGACTCAAGGCCTGAGCACTGTCCCTGAGCATTTCTACTCGAGGCTAGTGCTCTACCATTTAGAGTCCCAACGCCACTTTCAGCCTTTCACTGGATACTTAGAGGTGAGTCTTGAGCCATGGCTCCAGCCTGGCTCTGTGCTGATTAGCTGGGAGATGGAGTTTTGGAGAGATTCTTTGTGCTTTGGATGGCTTTGAGCTGTGGCAAAAGGAGTCTTTTTATTTCCAATTAAAGCAACAAGGAGATCAATGAGATAGAGATTACTTATAACTTGTTAACAATTGACTAACAATTATTTGCTAGAGTTTTGTAACAAAACCCAGTAGACGTTTATAAACAACAATTGATTGGCACTCTAAGTAGTGCCCATTGTCTCTGGGCAGCCTGTTTAAAGTGCCTTATATACAATACTTAACTTTTAATACATGTACAGGCCTTTTCTTGGGCTACAGCAGTATAGCCTGTTTAACACTCTGGTTTGTAAAAGCATTTTTCTGCAGTCTGAGTTACCTTTAGGAAATTTGCAGTTGTTCTTAATATACTAGCACTGTACTAAGAATCTAGACTTAGCATCTCTTTTCCTTTAGAAATACATCCAGTTATAAAATAGCAACTTATATCCTTTTCTCATATACCCCTTATGGTCTAACTTGTGGGGATTAACTTTACAGAAACAAATATCTGAACTGGCTTGTGTTTATTCTTTTTTTACCCCAAATCATCAGCCTTTTGGTCATGTGAGATGGAGCAAAGGGATGCTATGATATCTGTTTCACTTCCCGCTGGTTGCCTCTAAAATTTCTACAGTGAGGATGGGAAACAAACTCATTTTCTTTGAGTGGGCTTGTTTATTGTGTTAATGGAAAAAAACAGACCTGACATCACAGGAGATGTGCTGTAGGACTCAGTAAAACATGAATATGTACATGTGCATCTATTCATATGTTATGTGTGTGCACTCTTGTGTAACTATACAGCAAATAAATCAGACAGCAGAATGATTGAATGATTACAATTAACATTTTCATCAAGAAATGACATCCTGAGAATGATGTAGCACCTCTGTAGTATTGTAGCAAAAAAATACATATAACTTGACTCTGTTTATGAAAAAATTAAACAAAAGCAAAATGAGGAATATTCTAATGGGAAAATCAGAGTATGGGAAAGGACTGTATTCTTAAATAAATATCATTGCTCCAAATGACAAAGATGAAGGAACAGAAAATGTTAGAACTAAGGGAGACTACAAACCCTTGCCATAGAAATAATACCTGGTTCTAGGAAGGGGCTACTTGTTTCTAATTTGTACTCTTGGTTCCTTCTAAATTTCAACAGTTTAAAAAATTACCTGGAAAATATCAGTCTAGTTTTAGAGTTTAGAAGGATTTCATAGGCTGAATGTGCAAGTATGCAGGAAACACACTTTCCCATATTAAAATGACATCTTTCAACTAAGCATGTTGGGTATATGTATAATTTCAGCACTTGGGAATGCAGAGGCAAAAAGACATTGAGTTCAAGGCCACTCTGGACTACCCAGTAGCACCCTTTCTAGAAAACAGAAAGTTTCTCTATAGCAGTGTTACTGTAAACAGTGAAGGGCCCAGTTAAAGATAGAGAATGGATAATTCGTGTAAGCCACAAAGATTGATCAAGAGAGATGTATGAGAAGTTCATAAGATCTCATGGATGAACTGAGAGAATATTAACATGATTAAATCATCACTGACGGCCAGTTATATATAGTATATATAGGACTCTTTTAAACTACATTAATGAGCTTTGAAGTTATACAGTAAATTCATTTTTAAAATTTCTATTTTATTTCACCATTTAAAGAAACTGTAGTTATCTATAATTGTGGATTATACAATGATAATATGATACTTTTTTACATAGTGGATGACTGGATCAAACTAATAAATATATCAATGACCATAAATACCTATCATGTATTCCTCCTGTATAATCCTAAGATCAGAGATTTCCCATGCCTCTTATACCCCAACCTCTGGGAACTACTTGTCTATTCTCTGCTTTTATGACTTCTGTTTTTTCAGATGCCAGATAATGATGACACAGTTCAACTTACATTAAATTGTGAAGCAATTTAAATAACTTGTGTTGTATCATAATTTTCCTAGGATCAATCCTTTCCGGAGCATGAAAATGGTTTTCAGATTGGGATGAGATTAGAAGGCATTGATCCTCGACATCCATCTGTATTCTGTGTGCTTTCTGTAGCTGAGGTAAGAGATGGTGTTGTCTTAGGCAGATTACGCGATCATAGAATTTTCTAGAAAATAACAAATTTGAGTTATATTGTATCTTTAACAAGGTCCAGTACATTATGGATTTATTTTGTTTGGTAATGTGTAAAATACGTTTCCTAATGTGTTTTTCCTTACTCAGAAGATGAATTTTCTAGCACTTCCACCGACTAGTGTTTTCTTGACTTAATTGGTAAATAGTTTTCATCTAAGGTTGATAATAATCCATGAGTCCCACATGTTTGTTAATACTGTTAGCAGACATATAATTATTTATGTATTAGCTGAAGGAGTGAGAAATGGCAATGAATTATGTTCACATACATGAATTATACATTTATATAAGTATGTTCATTTTATAAAAAGTATATATATTGACCCACCATTCAGGAAAGTAAAAGGCTTACAAAATGTGATGCTTACTAAACGTATTATTAAATCAATAAAGATGTCTATATTTCTAACAGCATTGAACCTAGAAGTCACATTCATTTGCTTTACTTGATTGATTGTAGCTATTAAACTCATATTGCATGCATAGAGGATATGTTTCTCAGAGTTTTGTTATTTTCAGTGTTGAGTATGCTGGTCCACATGTTAGAGTTAAAATCAGGCTGTGCTTTGTCTTGAGATATGAATCCAAGGGGAACTGCAGGATATTTGGTTTCTGAATGTATATTTGACAGGCATTGAATTATTAAATTAGTCAATTAATGTACATATATTGATCTCAGATTCTTAGACTGGCTAGAAGGCTGTGTTTTGGTAGATGACTCTAGATACCTGACTATTTACTTCCTCACCATTTTTTTTTTTTTTTTTTAATGTTCTTTAAGAGAGCCATGATCTATCTTCTGAAAAAAAAAAACAAACTCGTGTTAGATAAACTTTGTCCATGCATAATTTATATTGTTTGCCAATTATTTAACTTAATGAATAAAAATTTATCAAATAAGATTCCATGACAAAAATATAAAACAGTTACTTAGCAATTGTTTGAGAAAAAGTTATTATCATGAGTTTTTTTTTTTTAATTTTATTTTATTTTATTTGAGAACATACTTTACAGAGGGGTTACAATTACATGGGCAGGATAATGCATACATTTCTTACCAAACATTGCAGCCTCCTCCTTTGTTTACCCTTCACCTCCCTTCCCAGCCTCCCCCCTCCCCCCACCCAATCATACCCCACCATTTTGTTTTAATCTGATGCCATAGACTGTATTAATTGGTCCCCAAATGAAAACATTTGAATGGATGGACTCATGTGTAGAGCACTGACAAAATATCTGAATATTTTGTGAATTTTGCGTTCACTTCACATTTATGGCACTTAATGAATGGTCACAAACTTTCTATGCTGCAGGTGTGTGGTTACCGGCTGAGACTTCATTTTGATGGTTATTTAAGCTGCTATGATTTCTGGATCAATGCTGGTTCCCCTGATATTCATCCAGTAGGATGGTGTGGAAGGACCAAACATGAACTACACATCCCTAAGGGTAAGCCTGGATGCAGCTACCAACCCAATAGAATCGCTTACTATTTCAGTTTCATTTTAGTAATAGTTCATAAAATATTAACAAGAAAACCCAGTGTCAATTGATTTCCACAATGAAAGTGTGACCCACAGTGTTATCATCTTTAGAAATAAGTACCTTTAGCCAGACACTGGTGACTCACCTATAGCTCTGGCTCCTCAGGTAGATCTAGGAGAGATCTGAAGTATTATGGTCCAAATCCAACCTAAACAGAAAAATTCTTGAGATTTCATCTCCAAAATAACCAGCTTAAAACAAATATGGAGATATGTTTCAAGTAGTAGAGTATCAATTGTGAGCAAGCAAGTGGAGCAAGTACTCAGGCCCTGAGTACAAACCCTGGTACTGGTAAGATAAGAAGAAAGGGGGAAAAGAAGGGAAGAAAAGGGGGAGGAAAATGAGGGAAGGGGAGGAGGGGGCAGGAAAGAAGGGGAATAATGTATTTAAAAGAAAAGCATTTGTAACCTTTTAGATCAGATATTCTGATAAAGTACATTAGGCACAAAAATACTACAAGAGCATCTTCTTACAAAATTTATTAAGCCTTACAAGGACTATAGAACTAATGTTTAAATCATGGTCAAAATGAAATATGTCACTATATCAATGATACTGTACAGTGAAGAGAGTTGATTTAATAGGAATAGTTTGTTGCAAACTTGGAAATAATGGAAAGCGGGAAACTGGAAAGATTCACAGTTTTCTTGGGAAATACAAGTCCCATCTTTGTCTCATTTTAGATGCAGGAATCTAGGCCAGGAAGTGGAGTCTGAATCTTTATATTTACTCTGTATATATGAGCTGAGGAGTTTTTTCACTAACAACTTCCTTGTAGAGTTTCCTGCTTGCTGATATTCTATTGGATTATTGTTAGTCTGCATAGTCCTCTTATTCTCAGAAATCACTTTGTATGTCTCTTGGAATCTATCTGTCTTTTGAGACTGTTGGATTTCATAGTTACTGGTCAGGCAACAGACTCATTCATTCAGATTGTATGATAGAATCCTTACTGGGTATGGTGCTTGTGATGGCAGAGTGAATGAAGCAGTCTTTGTCTTCATGGAGCTTTCCTTCCAGAGAGGGAAGGACTGAGCAAGGCTTCAGGAAAATTCTTTACAATGGAGGAGGAGTGGGCATGGCTATGAGGTAGAGTTTCAAGGAGAAAAGTGGAAAAGCCAGGCAAGAAGGTAGATGAAACTAGAGGTGAGCCCAGGACCTTGAAGCCTGGGCAAGGAGTTTGGCATATGTTCTAATGTGAGGTTCAATCAGAATATATTTACTGAGCTCATGTTATATGGACCAGCTCTGTGTGAGCCACTTTAGAGTACATGGCAGGTAGATTTGTTTTTAATGGAGCTGCCAGATGGTCTTTGGATTGTGAAGGGATTCCTATAATTCTCCCAAGTATCAGGCTTTTTGGGTGCAGTATGGCCTCCCATCTTCTCTGTGACATGGCTTCTTCAGAGCCAGAGCAACACAGGGTCTCCTAAAGCCTTAATGATGATAAGACTTGCATCATACCAGCATGGGACCAAGTCTACATCTCAGTGACCAAAATGTTTGTGGGTAATAAGGTGCCTCATGGACAAACAAACACATTTGAGGAAATTGGTAGAATGCTTAGGTCTTAATGTAAATTATTTGTGCTATGCTAGGAACATTGGCTGTATAGCAGAAGATTGAATAGTAATAGTAACTCTCATGTTTAATATGTATCTGATAATACCTGGTGGTTGTTTTGAGCAATGTGTCTTTTTTTTTAGGTTATAGAAAAGATAAATTTGTTTGGATGGATTACTTGAAGGCCTGCAAATTACAAAATGCTCCTAAGAAATTATTCAGAAACAGAAGTTCTGTAAGTATTTTCTTCCTCGGCATAAATCAGGCTTTCCCTTGAGCTTAAATTTCTTCACAAATTCACTTTATATTCTGTTGTATTTTAATCCTTTAAGGAATTAGGAAAGTCTTAACTTCCTGTAACTCTGCTCACTTAATTTGCCACAGTTTCCTGTAGGCATATCCTTTTTTTTTCCTTCAAAAGTATAATTAAAGACTTCAATTAAATGTCTAAAGTTGAAAAATTTACATTGAAATCCTGCTAAAATTAAAGTTCTTTTTATAAGTGGTTTTCATTCTTGCTTGCTTGCAGTGGGTTAGTGTTTTAAGCTTAACTTAAACCAAAAGCCACTCTAGGTAGACCTTGGCTGTTCCTAGCTTACAGACTTTTATGCAAGATAAAAAAGACAAGAGGAGCATTTTCTATAGACTGTAGGTGTTGTGAGGACTTGATGAGAGAGCTCCATATGACACCCTTGTCCCCAGCCACCCAGAGAACCTTCAATAGGCAGAAAGCTGCTCTCTGGGCTCAGAGAAGTGTGAGGTACTCTGGGAGAGGGCATAGCAGCACAGAAGTTTGTGGTTAGGACTTGGTTCTGCTACCTGAGGCTGGGTCATGGAGAACTGAAGCTTGGGGTCAGGAATTAGCTTTGCCACCTAGGGCTGCCATGTACAAATACCTCACTTAATTTCTAGAAAGTTCCATTTCCTGATCTTGAAATGAATGTTATACACCTGTTAAATGTGTTTCTGTGAGTGTCAAGGAGAAGGAATTAACTAAATGTGAAAATGCTTTAAAATAGAATATGCTAAGGGAAAATAAAATCAGTAGTTCATAATAGATAGTAAAGAAACAGATAAAAACTCCTAGATCTCAGATATTGTATGTATCCTAAATCCTAAGACTGACTAGTTATAGTCATTCACACATAGAATGAAGTTTTATAACTGTTGATGCTAAATGCTAATACTAAAGAGACATTTCTAACTGAAATTGTATTCTTAGTTTAGTGTATATATGTCCCTTAAATATTGAGAAAACTATTATTTTTAGATCTAATGAGAAAAATGATATTTGATAGTTAAATCAAGACTATACTTACCAGTAGTTCAAATACTGGTATTTGGAAACTACGCAAAACTCCATAGGGAGCTTCAAGCACAGATATGTCCTAATTCATAAAGTGCTGGGTTTTAAGTTTAATACAAATTTCCCTAAACCAAAGAGTGAAAATTGAAGATGATAAAGGAAAAATATCCTCCCTGAACTGAATAGCAAATATTATTTGCCACATATTACTAGAAGCAGATTGACATGGAATCATGTCTGATCAAAGGTGTGTGTGTGTGTGTGTGTGTGTGTGTGTGTGTGTGCGCGCGCGCACGTGCGCGCGCACCCAAAGGGGTGCCTGGCCTTTTTAGTGAATGGGGGTATTTATTCACCTGGCACTTGTGGCTTACTTTCAGAGGGTGGAAAATTGATACTCCAGGGACTTTACTGATGCCTAAATACTGTAGAGATACGGACATTGGCTCAGCCCTGTTAATATGCTGTTTCTTTTTTGTGCCTCTTCTCCTTCTGGTACATGTTAGAATGGGCCAATGCCTAAGGATTTTCAGGTGGGAATGAAGCTGGAGGCTGTGGATAGGAAGAACCCTTCCTTGGTTTGTGTGGCAACCATAGCAGACATTGTGGATGATCGCCTGCGAGTGCACTTCGACAATCGCGATGAGAGTTATGATTACTGGTGTGTTTTCTTTTCTCTCTTTCTTTTTTGTGTGTGCTGGTACTGGGGATTGAATTTACAGTCTTAGGCCCTGGCTTTTCCACTCACAAGGTTGGTGCTCTACCAATGAGTCACAGTCCCATTTCTGGTTTGTTTTTTTGTTTTTGTTTTTATTTTTTTGCTGGTTAATCAGAGATAAAAGTCTCACAGCCTGTAATTGTCTGTCTGCCACCTAGGGCTTGAAATCAACATGCCCTTCCCAAAATGAAAGCCTATGCTTATCAAGATTTATTAGGCTGACAGAATCATGATCCTCAGATCTCAGCCTCCTGAGTAGGTAGGATTACAGGCATGAGCTACTGGCACTCGCCTAAGTTGTGTTTTATTTTTTTTAAGGTGTTCATGTTTGGTGATATTCTCTCTGTCCCAACAGTAATGCATGTTAGGCATTTAGAAGATAACTCTTCAGTACCATTGCTCACACATCCACTGTTGAATTCAAGCATCTAAGGAACTTTCTTTCCATCCTTCGGGAAATTACTGAAGTAAGGTGGGCAGTCTAGAGTTCTTCATTGTATTATGCCAAGTTTGTAAGAGAAACAGGAGGAAATTAAGACATTACCAGTTATATGTGTGTGTGCATGTAGTTTCCTGGCCTGAAAAATGTTGAGCTCAGATTGTCATATAAAAGAAAGACCCCAAGAAAAGAAGAATGAAATATTGGAAAGCCTGTGAGGAATATGCTATGAAGCCATTAAACCAACACTGCATGAGTTGAAAGAGTTTACTGGAGGGAAGCTTGAAATATGGAAGAAGAGGTTATAGCAAAAATAATTTTTGGAACATTTTCTCATAGTATGTCCTGAGTGAGCCTATATGACCAAAGTCCTGTGTTCTCCTTTGAACTAAGAAACAGAACAGAATAATTATTGTATATGTCTTAGAGAGAACATTCTGAATTCTTTGAAAAGGAAAGGGAAGGAAAACAGTCACTTGTATTCTTGATTGGAATTTCCTATTAAAATTTGGACTGTCCCATTAATGTTTTCCCTTGGTCCTAGCAATAACTGGTAGAAGAAATTCATTAAAATATTCACTCTGGGGATATCACTGGCATTTTAGGTCCTTGTCAATCCTTCACTCCTTTTTATGCTTTTAAATTTCAAGAAGATTATGCAAAACAGAAGTGTTGTCAGTCAGCATGCAAATAAAGTAATAAAAATGACTTCTAATTTTAAAGCAATGAAGTACAATTTTCCATGGTATCTTTATATCCAGGATGGCCTTTACTATTGGATTCTTTCCCTGGCTTTGGGTGATAATCTGACACAGACTTCTTTCCACAGGTGTGATGTTAATAGTCCTTATGTCCAGCCAGTTGGTTGGTGTCAGGAGAATGGAAGACCTCTGATAGCCCCTCCAGGTGAGCAGACTGGTCTTTTTTGAAGTGCTTTCAGCATGAGTGGTATTCCCATCTTTACTTTTGTTTATGCAAATGGCATTTAACTATGCAGTGTGTGGGGGGTGGGGGAAGGAAGGCCTGTAATTGTCTGTCTGCCACCTAGGGCTTGAAATCAACATGCCCTTCCCCAAATGAAAGCCTATGCTTATCAAGATTTATTAGGCTGACATTAAAAATGTTGCTAAATTCTTTTTATTCCACTGTTGCTGAGGATCGACATTTACAACTAGTTATTTTCAGGTTCATACTTTATTTTTTTAACTTAATTCATTAGATGAACAAAAGGATTGTTAAATCTGTTTCACTTTGTTAAGTGCAGAGAATCTAGAAGTGGGGAAAAAAATCTAGAAGCAGAAAAATATATCTAGAAGCCCACTTCCCTCACGCTTCTTAAAAAACCTAGAAATGAAAGCTTCAGAAATGAGGATTAATGATCCTGACTTAATCCTTCAACAAACCAACTGAATGACTGAACTAAATGTTTGAACAATGATTATTCATATTACAGAACTATTAAAATACACTACTATATACAAATGTATTAATGGAAAGAGAGTAGATTCAAGGGAGATCTCAAAAAACATTATTCCCATAGAAAGGAAAAGTCAAAGCCAGGTGCCAGTGGCTCATTCCTGTAATCCTAGCTACTCAGCAAGTTGAGAACTGAGGATCACAGTTCAAAGCCAGCCTGGGTAGGAAAGTCTGAGACTCTTAACTCCAATAAATTACTCAGAAAAAGCCAGAAGTGGTGCTGTGGGTCAAGTGGTAGAGCTGTGAAGTATACTAAATAGGTAGATTTCATTAGGTAGCCAAGGAAGAGAACACCATGAGCTTATTCAGGCAGGAAAACAAGCTTATTTACCAAGCTGCTGCCCCTGGCTGTGCATGGTGGATAGGTATGGCTGAAAAGGAAGGGAAGGGGTGACCCACCTCTGGGCCAGGACTTATTTAGGCCAGGAACAGGAAGAGGTGTGGCCAGAAGGGGGAAAGGTGTGGCCACACTAGATCCAGATGTGACTTCAGGGTCTGGGACCCTCCTAAGGTCAGATGGGAGGCAGGTGACCAGAAGTGGCCCAGGATGTGACCTAGCAGGAAGGGAAGGTGACTCCTTCCAGGTCTGCCGGTCACCTAGGTAACAGATACTGGTTGGAAGGTTGGCAAAGAGAGAGGGAGACAACCCTGTGCAGACCTTACACTAGCTTTGAGCAAAAGAAGTTCAGAGACAGCACCCAAGCCCGGAGTACAACACCAGGGATGGCAAAAACAGAAAGAAAGAAAAAAAGCAAGAAAGAAAGAAAAAAAGAAAGAAAGAAAGAAAAAGAGAAAGAAAGGAAGAAAGAAAAGGAAGGAAGGAAGGAAGGAAGGGTCAAAGTTCAACAAAATAAACTTGAAAGGGGTAGAGTGGAGTCAAGGGGAAAAAGATAGACAAATGAATAAGATAAGTTGGGGAGGATGCAGTCAAAAATCCCATTGTAACAATGAGATGTACAAGACATTGTTGAAAATGAACTTTACAATTGTGGCGGGGGGGGGGGGGGGGGGGGGGGGGGGGGGGGGGAGTTGGGGAAGTGGTTAGGGAAGGGATGGTAGGGGTAAATCAAAGGAGGAGGTAACAATGCTTGATAGGAAATGTACTCATTACCCTACTCATGTGAGCATAACCCATCTGTACAGTATTTTTACAATAAAAATATATATGGAAAAAATTCAATGTATATCCTGCAAAATTAACAAGAATGAGGAAAGGAGTGGATTAGGAGGGATAAATGAGAATGTTGAAAGTGGAGACATTGATCGATACATCGTATTCATAAACTGTGTTGTTAAATGACAACCTCTTTGTATACAAAGATAATAAAAGATACTTAGAGGTTTTCTCTATCAAGTCTCTTTGTTTTCAGGTTTAAAAATGAATGAGGATAAAGAGTATAGCTTAATGTGCTTGCTTAGCAAGAAGTCCTGAGTCTTGAATTCCAATCCCCAGCCCTAAAAACATAAACAAAACAAAACCAAAAAATAATTTTTTTGGCAGCATAATATTAGCATTTTTTTGGTGGGTTGTGGGGCTTGAACTCTGGGCCTGGGCGCTGTCCCTCAGATCTTCAGCTCAAGGTGAGTACTCTACCACTTGAGCCACAGCGCCACTTCTGTTTTCTTGTGGTTTAATGGAGAGAAGAGTCTCATGGACTTTTCTTGCCCCGGCTGGCTTTGAACCATGATCCTCAGATGTCAGCTTCCTGAGTAGGTAGGATTACAGGCATGAGCCACTGACACCCAGAAATATTAGCATTTTTAAAACAAAAGCCTCAAAGAAATAATGTCTTTCAAAACATAATTCCCAAGAAGAAATGTAGATTATATGATATGCCATCTGGAATGTAGCATCTATTTGATTTTTTAATTTGAATCATTCTTGAGGTTTGCTATTTTGAAATCTTTTTTCTCCTCTGTGACTACAGATAAATAGAACTTTCCATCCAAGTATTGAGTTTGGTAACCATTTGACAAGAGTTGAAAGCATATTAAAACATATCTATTTAGTCTTGAAGAGTTTTTTATGAAATGTGTAGCAACAAATTTGCTTTTGACACAGAGTTGTGTGTCTTGTTTTTCTGTAGGACTGGCTGCAGCTAACTTTAGATTCTGGTTCTTTAAGATGAGGTGGGTGTCTGTCATGTAGGGGCTCTTATGGAGGAGGACTCTACTCCTTCTTGAAATCCTTTAGGGAAATCACTTCCCTTCCATCATGCTCTCTAGAGAAACTAGGGTTGTATTCAGTGTTAAAGTACATTATTCTGATTATGTTTCTGTGTATATCCACAAAGGTGCTGTGTACTGCATTAAGAACAAGTGGTCCAGAAACACATCATGATTTTTTCTGACAAATAGAGGCTGAATCTGAGGTCACCAATGATTATTGGGTTCTCATTGGATCCCTTACTGAAAAATCAGTTTATCACAGATGCTTGGATTTTGCATCTCCACTCTCAATTCTGTTTTGATGATTAGTGAAATACTTTAACCTGATTACTTCTGCTTTGTAGTAAGTTTTGAAATTAGAAAATGTGAATCTTCTAGCACTGTTCTCCTTCAAGATTGTTTTGTCTCTTCTGAGTCTCTTCTGTTTCCATAGGAATTTTAGAATTTACTTGTCAAGTTCTGTTACAAAGCCAGCTGGGATTTTTTTCCTGCTGTATTATGGCTTTATTTTTACAAGGGTAGAATTTTATAACTAGAATTTTAAGGATATATATATATATATATATATATATATATATATATATATATATATATATAGTTTTTCTAGTTTATGGTGGTTTTTAATTTTTAGTTTTGTTTTTAATTATCAAGATGACGTACAGAGGGGTTTCAGTAAGGTAATGAGTACATTTTTTTTTTGTCAGTCACAGGGCCTGAACTTTGGGCCTGGGCACTGTCCCTTAGCTCTTCAGCTCAAGGCTAGCGCTCTACCACTTGAGCCACAGCACCACTTCTGGCTTTTTCTGCTTATGTGGTGCTTAAGAATCGAACCCAGGGCCTCATGCATGCAAAGCAAGCACTCTACCACTGAGCCATCTTCCCAGCCCATGAGTATATTTCTTGTCAAGGTTGTTACCCCTTCCCTCAACTTTCTCCTACTTTCCCTCCTCCAATTCCCCCAAGTTGTAGAGATCATTTCCAACATACTGTCTTATATATATTGCTATTGCATTGATTTTCCCCTTGCCTTTTCTCTCACCATTCTGTTGTTCCCTTTCCCTTCCCTAATTCAAATAAACATATATACAATATCAAGATACCAAAATCAAGTACAGTGACAACAACAGAGGATATACTATAGGGGGAAGAACATGCAAAAGAAACAAAAAATTGCATAGTACATTATAAACAACAACAACAAAGAAAATACCTCTTGTGTCCATGTCTTGGAGTTCATTTCACTTAGCATCATCTTATATGGTCAGATGTACCTAGCTGTTGAGCTATTCTGCTCATCTGCTAAGCTTATTCTAGACATTTACTAATTACTGCAAATAATGGAAACCATGTTTCTTTGTGGGATTTTTTGATAGAAATTGCATTATGAATCTGGATATTAAGTTGGAAATTATTGCAACTTTCACAATACGGAGTTAACCATCTAATGGTCATGCCCATTTTTCTATTTTTATTGTTTTAATTTCCTTTTGTTGATAATTGTAGCCTTCAGTCTGCAAGTCTTTCATGTACTTGAATCAATTTCACACTAAGCATTTCATTATTTATTCCTTTATTAAATTGAGGCCAAATTCACATAGCATACAGTTAACTACTTTAAAGTATGAAAATTGATCATATTTAATGCTGTATATTTGCCAGCTCTCTCAGTTTTCAAAATGTTTTAATCAACCTGTAAAACTTACTTAATAAGCAGCTATTTATAAGCAGAGGCTCCCTAACCCATTCCCATTTCTCTGTAGCCTCTAATCCTATCTGTCTTGCTCAATTAATCTGTTCTAGTTATATCACAAAGAACATGTTATACAATATCTGGCAACTTGTGAGTCTTCTTCACCTGGCATAATGGTTTTAAAGTATGTGTTGTGGTATAATTTATAAGTTGGCTTCTTTTCTCATGTGGCATGCTACCACTTGAGTTACAGCTCTACTTCTAGGTTTTCCTTCTAGAGCTGGCTTCAAATGACAATCCTCAGATGTTAGCCTTCTGAGTAGCTTAGTTTACAAATATGAGCCACCAATGACTTGTTACTTGATTCTTTTTTATGATTTAATACTATAATATTTAGTGTTTACTTATTCAATTAGTCTGGTGCTGAGCATTTGAATTTTTGGTTAGGAAATAACAATCTGTGAACTATATATTATATATACATATAGTGTATATTATATACAAATGGAGTGGTTAAACTGTGAGAAATACATTTTATAAAAGAAATTACTATGATCCTCTTGAATGATTT